TTTTTTTTTTTTTTTTGTATTCCCATCTCACCTTGTGTAAATATGTCTTCCCAGTAGAGCAGTTATTTCATTGTATTGAGGATACCTGTTTGCACAGGAGCCAAGAATGCATTGTTCTGTCTTTGAATTCCACACATTCTAATATGGAGCCTGAGCCACAGGGCTAAAACATGTTAAACGAATGAGAAATTAATAAGTAGAATGCATTGGCAAGACTGTGAAGGTACATTTCTAGGAGTGAATGTGAGTCTCGAGGACCATGTGGCAATGTGTATTTGTAATTCTTTTTAAAGGCACAAGTTTGAGGACTGTGTTGAGAATTGGATAGTACCTCTTTGAAGTATACTTTTTACTGGACTATGCTTTTAAATAAAGAATGGCTGTGTCGGTATTATCTTGGCTATGTCTAATTACTATTTTTGTGAAACAAGATAAGTAAAGCTTGTTCTTTAGCGAGCACTGCTCCGGTGGTGTGCATGTGTGTGATGGCACGTGTATGGAGTGTGTTGGAATGACCATGTTCCTGGAGAACAATCTGTTGACACTGATGGTGGGCTGAGTAATAAGCTTAGGAAATTTCCCTGACTTCAAGGAATTTACAACATCCTGTTGTGGGGGGCGGATTTAGACTTTGATGTAGCTACTCTCAGGACATATAATAAACTACTAAATTGCTCATCAAACACAATCAGGTAATTCATATTAAAAAGCTAATTGTTCAGTAAAAATACCAAGTGCAGAAGTTGGTGGGGGGAAGATAAGCTTGAATTGGAACTACCAGAAAAGTCTTATGAAGAGAGGGATTTTTCTTTCCAGTTTGTCTATTCCAATTAAAAGCTCAGCAGATCCAGCAATCCCATTACTGGGTATATACCCAAAGGAATATACATCATTCTGTTATAAAGATGCATGCACATGTATGTTTATTGCAGCACTATTCACAACAGCAAAGACATGGAATCAGCCTAAATGCCCATCAGTGATAAAGAAAATGTGGTACATATACACCGTGGAAGACTATGCAGCCATAAAATGGAACAAGATCATGTCCTTTGCAGGGACATGGATGGAATTGGAAGCTATTATCCTCAGTAAACTAACACAGGAACAGAAGACCGAACACTGCATGTTCTTATTTATAAGTGGGAGCTGAATGATGAGAACACATGAACACATGGGGAGGGGGGAACAACAAACACTGGGGCCCATCTAGGGTAGGGGCTGGGGGAGGGAGAACATCAGGAAGAATAGCTAATGGATGCTTAGTTTAAAACCTAGCTGATGGGATGGCCTGTGCAGCAAACCACCATGGCACACTTTTACCTATGTAACAAACCTGTACATTCTTCACATGTACCCCTAAAAGAAAAATAAAACTCAACAGAACATAAGGCTCAACAGAACATTTTTAGGGTATCTCAGCCTCCCTTTTTCCAGCTGATAAGAATGTTTTGACTTAGTTCTTGTTCACGTTCATGTTGAAGCCCTAGTTCCCTGATTTGTTTGATGCCAGTGGCAATTAGGGGAGCAACTGGAGACAGAGAATTGCTTCCTCCAGGTAGGTCCCTGCATTCCACCAATGCAAAGCATTGCTTGGGTTCAGGGTCCTGTGGCCCATGGACTACAGCCAGAATTCTCAGTGTCTTCAGTGTTCTGATTTTTTAATGTCTAAACACACTTCACACCTAAGATTCGATGATCTGGAAATTGAACCTAAGAAGCAATAGTATGGCAGCTAGCTTCCAAGGTGGTACCCAATGAGTCATTTCATGCCTACATAGTCCTTTTCCACATCGATAGGGATGATTTTTGTAACCAGTAAAATACTGTGGAAATGGTGGTGAGTGGCTTCCTAAGTGGCATCATAAAATACTTAATTTTTGCCTTGTTCTTTCTTGGAAAGAAGACCCACCATGGGAAGCTTTGGGAAGAAGCCAGCCGCCATGTCCTGAGAACACTCAAGCAGCTGTGTGGAGAGATCCATGTGGTGAGGAACTGAAGCCTCCCACCAACCATCAAGTCAGTGGCTCACTATTTTTGCAGTGAATTCTCCAGCTTATGAAGACTTTAGATGACTTAACCAACATCTTGACTAGAACCTCATGGATTCCCTGAGCCAGAACAACCCAGCTAAGCCTCTCCTAAATTCCTTACCTACAGAAACTGTGAGATAATAAATATTTATTCTTTTAAGCCATCAAATTTTGGGTAATTTATTATGCAGTAATATATAACTAATATAGATAAAAATATTCAGTTTGAGGAAAAGAAGAAAGATAATTCACAATAAACTCAATAAGTAAAAAAATTAAAACAAGGTTAATTCAGAAAGAAAGAGTTATACTGTAAGAAGTTGTGGTCTAAGTGTGTGTACATAGGGATGTTGTGATAGGTCAATGCAAATTTTCCATATCTGGATAACCATGTTCTGTGGGAGAACCAACCAGAGCAGCCTGGGTATGAATTTTGTGTGTGTATGGGGTTGGAGGTATAGGTTGCTGTTGTATTTGTATGGTTAGAGATGATATACAAATTATTTAACAATTGGTCATGGCACAAGAAACAAGCAATTAGAATGGAGCCTCTACCAGAACCAGGCAAATGATCAGTGCGCCTACCCTGGTGTCAGTTGGATGTGTGTCAGCCTTGGGCACAGAGCCTTTGAAATGGTTTGGGGTGTGGCCAGCTTACCTTGGACATTTTAATATAGGTCTTTCCACAAGATGGCACTGATAGCTTTTCCTTGTTTCTCTTTTTTTGTCTCGTTGAAATATTTGTGATTCATATACTGTTGCAGAACGTACCATAACTGAAATCTCACAATTTACTAGTTGATTTCCTGTACTTTTGACAAGTCAGTTGCCTTATACAACTTAAGATTATATTTTTCTTTTTTCTTAGACCATCCCAGGAGCACATTGCAAGTTTAAGTTGGGGTGCTGGGAATGCTGTCTCACATCAGATGCTATTATCATGGGGGCTGGAGGTGGGGAGGGAGGAGGGGACTAGGCTTTGGTTTTTGAAAAGCCATTCAACCAAGGAAGACAAGAATGGAATCAAGAGGGAGCACTCAGGGAAGAGCCACTTCTGTGATCAAAACGGTTTTTGGTAGACTCTCTCACTTCTTCCCTCTATGCTGCCTCGAACCTCAGCTGAGCCATAGCCTGGCTGGCACTTTGAATCAGCCTGAGGAGACCCTGAACAGAGGTTCAGCTAACTTGTACCTAACTTCTAATCTACAGAACTGACATCATAAAGGCTGTTTCTTTAGCCATTAAGTTTGTGGCAATTTGTCATGCAGCATAGAAAACCAATACAGATGCCTTTATTTATTTTATTTTCTTATCTTTAATATGCTGGTCACAGCACTATACCTTTGAAGTTTCTAAAGTGCTGTATTGCTTTTTTTCTTTCCCCTTTGTTTTAAGTTTTTCAATCTCTAAAACTATAGACTACATAAGTTCATTTTCCAGATTTCATTCCAGAGTTCATTTGTTGCAGATGCAACAAATACGATGAACCAATGGAGCTCACAAACTGTCAGGATCTGGTTTCCTTTTGGCACCTTCTAAACTCCTGGCTGCTCCCTCCACCACCTTTAGACTGCTGCTTCTCAAGGTGTGATCCACAGTTGGTGTCACATGGAAGCCTGTGATAAATGCAGAATCTCAGGCCTCTCCCCCCAACTTATGAGGTCCCCAGGTGGCTCATAGGCACACCTGATTAAAAAGCCCTGGTGTGAGACGGTTTGTTCTGCAACTCTGTTTTTCCTTTGGTCATCGGTAGCACCCAGAAAGTCATCTGGTCACAGAGGTGGCGACTTGGAGATCTCCAGGTATCTCTTCTCTGGAGCTGAGAAGTTTTAGCTGAGCAGGGCTATGGGCAGAGGAGCTGATCAGCAGAGGGAGAGGCCTTAAAGGGGCCTATCTGGTCTGGGTGAAAACTTGAGGTCAATTAGAAACACCTAAGCATCCTGGATTAGAACAACACATTGGCTTTATCTACAGGTTAGAAAGATGTCCAAGAAAAACATGCTTAATGTACATGTACCTTTCCTGTTTTTTGTTCCAAGGAAGGGCTTGGTTTCCAGATTTCCTTTCTAGAGGAATGCTTGAAGCATTGCTTCCTACTCTACCTGCCTTTATACTATTTTCCACGCAAGGCAAAAAGTGCCCCAGTCATTATTCTCCAATTTAAATGTCTCTAGCCGCCCTACAGTTTGGGGGAAAGGAGAAGGCACCATGGCCAACGTTTTTTCACACAGGCCCGTCCTTTCCCCTCTGTAGCAGACCTTCCTCCCACTCAAATCTGATTCCTCCAAAACTTCCTTAGGACCCCTCGTCTCTGTGGATCCCTGACTGGCCTCCTCTATCCCAGCCTCCACACATTTCCCCTCTGTGCACCCGCAGAGACCTTTAAAGAACACAGATCTTACTTTTCCAGTTCTTCAATAAGTCCTTATTGTCTTCAAGAACAAACCCCCAAGATTTATAGACTGACATATCAAACCCTCCAGGATGAAGCCTCCTGATTTTTCCTTCAGCCTCACCTTACCTCATTCCTCTGCAGCAGTGTTTGTTCCCATCACACTGAATAATGTGTAGCAGTCAGAGAAGCAGAGCTCTCCTATGTGCCTGTGCCCATGCTGCGCCTTTTCCCTGCAGCAACACCCCAACTTCCTTAAATTTCAGTTTGGAAACAGACCACTTTCTCTAGGAAGCTTTCCCTGCTTGAATTCATGTTCTGTATCCCTCTTCTAAGTGTCTGCATCATGTCTATTAGAATATTTATGGCATTATATACTAAACACATATTAAAGCCTTTATTGCTGTATTATAAAAATGTTTATTGTAAAAGCATTAAAATACATACACATGCAAACATTTAAAAATGATTACCTATTACCTATTTATATTAGTTGGTGTTCAATTAGGAAAAGAGAAGCCATTCCATGCTTTCCTAGTATGAAGGGAAGCAATATAAGAAATTAAAGGTTTACATACCTGGCAGGTGGGCTGAGTAGCAAAGGTACCAGATGATCTGAGCTGGTAGCATCTAAGTGAGATGCTCTTGAAGATCTTGCCTGGAAGTGATTCCACTGTAAGTCTCAGGAACTTCTGGAATTCCCACCAATTATCTCCATCTGCAGCACTCATGTGGGGAGTCCCAAGAAATTCACCTGGACGCTGTTTTCAACCTCTCATCTGCCTATGCACTTACCCATCTCTGGTACACCATGGTCTCTCTTTCCTTTCCAAATCTTACACGGGTGCGTTTCATTGCCACTCAAGATATATGGGAAGGAATTTTGGAAACGTTGTTCCCAGCATCTCCTCTTGGTGCAGAGAGCTTAGTAATGAGTGGCATTGATATTAAGTTTACGAGAAACAAGTCACCTAAAGATCAGCACATTTTGGTGCACCACCTTTCACATATATTTGTGTGTGTGTACATATATAAGTGAATACTGCCCATATAAAACTCTCTTTTTAGTGCGCTCTCTCTATATCTATATGCATGTCTCCCCTCTGGCTCCTTCAAGGTTTAATGAGCTCTCTTGTCTACTTTGTAGAGTAGAATTCCCAGCACTAGTTTGATGACACCCTGGAGTGTCTTCATTTATCTCAGGGGGTGCCTTGAAATTCACAAAACAAGATTAATTTAAATTCGTTTTCATTTAAAAAGTAAACAGACATTGTATAGTAATTACAGGTACAAGTGTGTGTGTTGAAATCAAACTAATAAATGCTTGCCTTAGAGAGAAATTAGGAGGATGGGGCTGGGGTTGGAAGGGACTACAAAGGTGGTTTAGGCTGAATCTTTCCTAAAACATTTCTCCTTACCAATTACCTCCATGTCGATATTTCCCCAAAGTAATCACGTTTCTCAAATTGGAAGTCTGGGCTGTTGGGAATGACAGCTCCCAGTATGTGGGTTTATCTTCTGTATGTACTATGGGCCTGACATACAGTAGACCCTCAGGAAACACATTGGGATTGAGTGTGTGTAGGGGTGGGACATGGTGGTGGTGAATGGGGAGGCAGCATGGCGCATGAGAGTTCCAGCTTTGGGGTTGGAGGCCATGAGATATCGGCACAGACAGTGGCATGGGTAGCAATCCCATTTGGATTCTAGGAGAATATAGTCTCCCAGAAAATAAAGGAGACAATCTGGACCGAGATGTCACTGGCCTTATGTGACAATAATTATCTATCAACAATTTGTGCAAAGCATCAGAGAGTCAGATAGGTGAACTAACATCAAAGCCTATGAGTATCAGTGACATCCTGCTGAGATGACAGCCCTACAGCCACAGATGCAGGAAGAAATTCTGAATTCTGCTTAAGACCAGTGTCTTTGAAGCAGCAGAGCTGGTGGTGGGTTCAAACCCTGGCTCTGCCATTTAAAGCTATTGAACTCCAAATAAGTTGCTTGACACCTCAGTGCCCTTCTCTATAAAGTAGAGATAATCATAATGCCTACTTCAGAGACTTGTGAGGATTAAATGGGTTAATCCTGTAAAGTGCTTTGAACAATGCTTGGCACAGAGAGGAATCAATAAACGCTGGTTATTGTTATCATCAGCACCACAATAGGCTGCACATACTTATCAGGACTAATTGGTAGCAGGAGTTTCAAATGAAGAATGCATTACCGGCCCCATCTGGTCCCAAAAAATAGGTTCGGGAGCCCCTCCTGTTGTCCCCTACATTGGGGTAGGAACATCATTTGCTAGAAGTGAAAACTTAGGCAAAGGGTTAATTGTATTACAAGCAAGCAAATAAACAAAATAGAACAGAACAAAACAAAAAAACCACCACATGCAAATTGAGTTCTCAGTGAATTCCCTTGTTACACCTTGATGGGATATTCTGCTTCATGGGAAAAAAAATTAGTGCTAAGATACCTGGATTCTTAGACTCACAGTTGGTAGCAAGGGAAGAATGTGTCTTTCAGTGCAGAGTTTTATGGTCTATCAATCATTGAAAGGAAGATATCATTAATCATGAGTCAGTTTCAAAATGTGCTCATCATTATCCACTACTATTGATGAAAAACCTCAACCTCTTCTGGAGAAAATGACTGATAGGAAAAGAACCTTTGAGGCCATTGAAACACAGCCGTGATTCTCTTTATTTTAGTGAAAAACTAAATATACCTATATCCTCAGATGGGAAAGACAAATCAAGTCTAACGTCTAATCTTAGCAAAATTCAAATACTGGGTTTGAAATGCCAGTAATTCTATTTAATTCTTTTTCTCTTGTGCAAATACAGAGGAATCTACATTGTGTGATTATTCAGATGTTCAAACAGTTATTTAGAATGAGAAAATTTGCAAATTCATATAGAATTTATTTCTAGAATAGCTATGACCGTAACAGAGACAAGGTTGATGAGTCAGTCGTTTATTTGAAAATTATGATGTCCTAAATCCCTTTGGTTGGAAAAGATATTTGATTCGTAAAATTAAGGAAACATGGTGAAAAAATGTTTTTTAATGGTTAGCTTTGCTTTATAGTCTTTTGGATTTCTAAAACTATCATATTTTAAGCCTTTCTGGTCCTTGTGTTTCTAGAAATTTTATGTCTTTAATTCAGTTAAGCAAACATATGCCAAATAAGCCAAAGTGAACAAGACACTGGGCTGTATACTTGAATATGAATGTGGATAAAAGCATGAAACTTACGTTTTGGTGTTAGAGCAGATTGTTATAGCAATGACCTGAATGGATTACACCTCCTAGTATCCATACCCTTATATGCCTCTCCCATATTTGTACTGGACTCAGCCTTGTACTTGCTTTGGCTAATGTGATATAAACAAATGTGGGCTGGGTGCAGTGGCTCACACCTGTAATCTCAGCACTTTGGGAGGCCAAGGTGGGCGGATCATGAGGCCAGGAGTAGAGACCAGCCTGACCAACATGGTGAAACCCTGTCTCTACTAAAAACACAAAATTAGCTGGGTGTGGTGGCACATGCCTATAATCCCAACTGCTTGGGACACTGAGGAAGGAGAATCCCTTAAACCTGGTGGATGGAGGTTGCAGTGAGCCAAGATCGTGCCACTGTACTCCAGCCTGGTCAACAAGAGTGAAACTCTATCTCAAAATGAAATGAAATGAAATGAAATGAAATGAAATGAAATGAAATGAAATGAAATGAAATAAACAAATGTGATGGAAGCACTTGCATGTTGGGGCTTGTCATTTTGGAACCCTAAGACCTTTATGCTATAAAGAAGCCCAGAATTATATACCATGTAGTAGGAGAGGTCAGTTGAGCCCAGTCCCCAGCATGAGCTGGATGCAGCTGCATGAATGATCCTAGGTATGACCAGCAGAAGAGTGACCCAGCTAATTCACAGAATCATGAGAAATAGAAATTGCTGTTAAGCCATTAAATTTTGGGGTAATTTACTTCATAGAAATGGAAAACTTATATATATATATATATAAATTTTTTTTCTTTTTTTCTTTTTTTGAGATAGAGTCTTGCTCTTGTTGCCCAGGCTGGAGTTCAGTGGCATGATCTCAGCTCACTGCAACCTCCACCTCCCAGGTTCAATTGATTCTCCTGCCTCAGCCTCCTGAGTAGCTGGGTTTACAGGCGCCCACCACCGTGACCAGCTAATTTTTGTATTTTTAGTAGAGACAGGGTTTTGCCATGTTGGCCAGGCTGGTCTCAAATTCCTGACCTCAGGTGATCCGCCCACTTTGGCCTCCCAAAGTGCTGGAATTACAGTTGTGAGCCACCGTGCCTAGCCTGATATAAAAATTTATACCCAGAAATGGTATGTTGCTGTAATGAAAAGCTAAACTTGAGGCATTGGCTTTGGGGCTGAGTGGCTAGCGGGGGCAGTAGGTGCAGCAAGTTGAGTATTAGTGGAGCCTGAGGACCTGAGAGGAAAGCACTACTGGAGCCTGATAAAGGGCAAATCACATTATGCAGTAGTAGAATAATTACTGGCAACATTGTCATCTCCAGAAACATGGAGGATAAAAAATGTACTTAATGAACTTGCCAATTTGGCTTAAGGAAGTTTCCATTTAGAATGCTGAAGGGGTCAATTAGCTTTTTTTTTTTTTTTTTTTTTGAGATGGAGTTTCGCTCTTGTTACCCAGGCTGGAGTGCAATGGCGCGATCTCGGCTCACCGCAACCTCCGCCTCCTGGGTTCAGGCAATTCTCCTGCCTCAGCCTCCTGAGTCTCTGGGATTACAGGCACGCGCCACCATGCCCAGCTAATGTTTTGTATTTTTTAGTAGAGACGGGGTTTCACCATGTTGACCAGGATGGTCTCGATCTCTTGACCTCGTGATCCACCCGCCTCGGCCTCCCAAAGTGCTGGGATTACAGGCTTGAGCCACCGCGCCCGGCCAATTAGCTTTTTTAAAGTGATATATAATAAGGTATAGGAAGAGAGAGATGAACAACAGAAAAAATGAATTGCTCCATTTGCAGGCAGAATTTAAAGCAAATATGGAGTGCCCAGGACATGCTAGGTGGGAAGTAAAACTGTGTCACATTTCCAGTCTCTCCCACTGCCCAAAGATTCTCAAAGTTAGAAATGGTCTCGGGTACAAATCAAATCAAGGGTGTGGCTATAAGACTTTGTGAAGACCACAAAGTGCTTTAAAATAATCACTATTAGATTGTCTCAGCCAGGCAAATGGCTTTTAAGAATTTTAAGGGCATTTTTTTCCCCCACAGCACCTTGACATAATAAACCAAAGTAGAGGACTATCTCAAATATAGTTGTGGTCTAGTCAAAAATAGCTTTTGTCTAATCAAGTGGACTATAACCTGGCATATAGAAAGCCCGCACTGAAAGGTATTGGACTAGTTTGGACTAACTGGCGTACAGAAGGTTCAAAGTAAATGGAAACAGGAAGTAAGCTGAGAAAATTACTCAGCTGCACACGCAGGTTATTTTTATTGAAAACGAAGGTCATCTTGGAGAAAGCAGAGGCAACCACTTCCAGAGAGTAGAAGTAGGTAAACTAGGCTATATTCAAAAACCATTTCCTCTACCTAGAGTAGAAGGTCCTGCAATATACTCAGGATTGGATTTCAGAATTGCTGTGGATTGGATGGCTTTGTGGCTTTCTATTTTT